CCCCACTGCTACCTCTTTGTGTTGATTTTATATATATATATATATATAGGAACCACCTCCCAGACACACCTTTTTTTTAATCATCATCAACTTTTCATTTTTCACTTCACGCTTTACACACACACCACCCAAACTTGGTCTCCACTCATGTTTGCTTTTCCTCTTTTTTTTTTTTCTTTTCGTTTTGCCTTTTCTTATCATGACACCACATGCATGTCCCTCAGCCTTTTGACAAAGTTCTTTTTCGTTTTCTTCTTATCCGCCGCTTTTATCCTTTTCGTTTTTTCCATATATATATTAATAAAAAAGAAAAAAAAAAATCACTGCAAAAATCAATAATCAAATAAAATATATATATATATACTGATTGCAGCAACACCTTTTTTATTCATTCTCAGGGATCAACTCCGATCACAATTTTTTACTTACCACACAAAAAAAAAAAAAAACAACAAAAAAACAACAAAAAAAACACAAAAAAAACACAAAAAAAAAAAAAACAAAAAAAACAAAACAAAACAAAAAACAAACAAACACACAAACCAACCACACCACATATGGATTTTTTCTCTACTCTGCCGCCGGTCTCTTCTTCTTGCCTCCGTCCTGGGCGGCCCTTGACGGTGTTGCCTCCGTGCTTCCCACTCCACTGGGCACGATCACTACTCCCTGCTCCTCCACTCAGCATATGGCGGACCTCCAAATCGGAACATCACGGTGGCCTTTCCGCTTCAGCTCCTTGATTTCTGCCCTTAGCACCTTATCTCTGCTCGCGCATCCTTATACATGCGTTGGAGCAGAGCCAGTTGGGCGTTTATTGTGCACCTCATTTGTCCTACTCTGCAGCCGGTGCGACAAGTTTGTGACCGCCGTCATGGACTTCAACATGCCTCAAAGTATACTGATTAGCTCCACATCCGTTTGCACTGCCATTTTTGCTCCACCGACTGCCATCGGAAAGTTCAACGGAGCAAACCCAGTGGTGTTTGGTTGAGGTTCACGGGACACCGCACCCGTTATCTCTCTTGTTGACTCGTTGAGGTCGGAAAGAGAGTCAGCAAACCACGGGACGACGAAGCCATTTTCTCTCGCAAACAGGTTGTTACAGACTCTGCTACTCTCAGCACAACAAGGTGTTACACCTCTCTCTCTTCAAGCACAACGAAGAGTTTTACAGAGGTTTCGCAGCAGGTTTCTGCTTCTGCCTCGGCCGTCAGGCTCTGTCTTGGTTAAATAGCCGAGGCAGCACGCGCATCGCGCGCCTCTTGACGCCAGACAAACGGGCACGCCAGCCAAGGCACTCACGTGCCTCGGCCATCATATCTGGCACGCCTTTTTGATGGCATCGGGCACGCCTTTTGATGGCACGCCTTTTGACAGATTGGGCACACCTTTTGAGGCACGACTTTTGAGGGCTCGCTATCTACAATCCATGATCATATTTTTTTTTTGGACAGCTATATACACACTCACACAGTGTCTCTACACCGGTCAGCTTTATCCATCCCTTGTTCAACCTTCAAATAGATTCTATCTCACACCTATTTGGGTGAGGGGGTTATACACAGTATCATGTAGTAAGTCGCTCATGCGCACTCCCTAAGTCGCCCCTCGTGATGCACACCACAGCTTCTACAACGGTCCGACATGACCCGTAAACTGTCTTCTACATCGTCTGCACGACCACCGTGTCTGTACAAACGGTCCGAACATGACCCCGTCAAAACTGTCCTGCTACATCGGTCCGACATGACCCCGCTAAACTGTCTTCTACAAAGGTCCGACTGACCCGTAAACTGTCCTGCTACATCGTCCGACATGACCCGTAACTGTCCTGTACATCGGTCCGACAATTGACCCCGAAACTGTTTCTACAACGGGTCCGACATGATCCCCGTAAACTGTCTGCTACAACGGTCCCGACATGACCCCATAAACTTGTCTTCTACAATTGGTCTGACACACCCCAGTGTCTCTACAACGGTCGACACACCATACCGTGCTTCACATCGGTCTGACACAACCATACAGTGTCTCCTACCCATTTTTTTATTTTCAGCTATTTTCTTGTTTGTTACTCTCTCCAAACTCAAGTTGGTAGTCTATCCTCCTTGAGTTTGGGGGGTGTTAATTAAATTGTACATAATAAATCACCACTTCCACCTACCACACTCCATACCTACCCACTCCACCTACCACCTCACTTCATCACCTACACCTACATACTACACATTTCTCTATATATATGATCATTGTAAATAACAATACACATCAATTAATCATCAGTTTTATTTTAACTGGCCAATCAAATGTACTTTGGCACCCTTCAATGTCCTGACCACGAGATTTAGCCTCTTTCCTGACTAGCAAAATCTGTTGCTTTTCTGTCATATCATATGGAGTCTAAGTGTTGCTATATGTGGTACTCTGTTGGTGAATAGATTCAAAAGTCTGTTCGCTTTTGGGCTTAAGTCCTCTCACCTCAATCCTCTGAGGGAGTTGACTTGATTCTTTGGTTGGAAATTGCCTCCAGTCTGACATATCATGTAAAAGGAAACTACTGGAACTGTTCTAGTGTTATGAACTGCATAAGGGAATATTTTGGCATGTCTCAAATCTTAAGTTAAGTTATCTTGGCAGATGTTGCACTTTTGGGAACTTGAAAGTTGGAAATGCCAATTATGATGATATAGCACTAACAATAGTATTGGCAGCAGTTCATCTAGTTTCTTTTATGGATTTTATTTCAGGCATTGATAGACTCTACCTCTTCTGAAAGTAGTCTTGATATGAAGGACTGGTTAAGGGTGGTTGCCTTGTTTGATCATGAGGAGGTTGGATCTAATTCAGCACAGGGAGCTGGACTCCTGCCATGTTGGATGCTCTATCACGAATTACAAGTTCCTTCAGTACCGATTCTAAGGTAGCACCACTTCCCGTTACATTTTTGCATTATAGTTGTAGTGTTACTAACATGTTTACATTTCAATATTCATAATCAGACTAGTTGAGATCTCCTGAACTTTCTGTATGAAAATGGGAAATATATAATATATATATATGATAAGTAATGAGAAAAATGTGACCTATATATCAAGAAAGGCACCAAGGGGGTGTCATCCGAATACAAAAGGAAAAGCCAACTAAAGGAAAATGTGACCTATACTACCAATTTACTCCATAGTTTCTACAAAATCCAAAAAATAGATGTAAAGATGGTTCAACACAGCCTAAGACCTAACTATACAAAAATTGGCAAAATTTTGTCTAGAATATGCCATTTTGAACTAATACTAGAAACACTCATGTGAATTTCTCCAATAGGTGTGTTTAAAAATTCCTGGACAGTTCTTGGAAGTACTTGCAAATGTGCTGTCCACATGTGTTTTCAGTCTATCGACTTTCAAAAAAAAAAAAAAAAAAAACCAAAAAACAAAAACAGCTCGTCTTGTGCTTTCAGAAACTAGATAAAGAGAATTTCAATTTAAGTCATTCAATTTCAATATTGGCAAAGCAAATATGAGATTGTCTTGTTCACTGTTTTGCTTCCTATATGGGATTCAGTGGATTAAACAATCTGCTGTAATTTCATGATTTGCGAAAACATTTTGAATACATCTCTAGTTTCACAATTTTCACATAAACAATCACTCTTTTTTTTTTGGGTGAATACATAAAAAACATTCCCATCCAGTGTCCTCTACAACGTTATGACACCACCATACAGTGTCTTCACCATCGGTCTGACACGACCATACAGTGTCTCCTATCCTTTTTTATTTTTATGTATTTTCTTGTTTTGCTCCTCTCTTCAAACTCAAGTTGGTTAGTTTCTATCCTCCTTGAGTTTGCGGGGGGCTGTTAGAATTTACCATAAACCAACCTCCACTACCATAAACCTACCTCCACTACCACTTCACCTACTCCACTAAACCTAACCCACTACACCACTACCACCTCCACTTCACCTACTCTCCACCTACTCCCAAACACACTCCTATATAATAGGAATCCTTGTAATTGTAATAAAGACATCAATATAAATCAATCAATAATACAATTCTCTATTTCTCTTTATACATTAAATTTCTACAGCATGTTTGTGTCTATGCATGTGTTTTTGGTCAGGTTCAACTGGCCAATCAAATTGTACTTTGGCACCCTTCAATGTCCTGACCACGAGATTTAGCCTCTTTCCTGACTAAGCAAAATCTGTTGCTTTCTGTCATATCATATGGTAAGTCTAAGTGTTGCTATATGTGGTACTCTGTTGGTGAATAGATTCAAAAGTCTGTTCGCTTTTGGGCTTAAGTTCCTCTTCACCTCAATCCTCTGAGGGAGTTGACTTTGATTCTTTGGTTGGAAATTGCCTCCAGTCTGACATATCATGTAAAAGGAAACTACTGGAACTGTTCTAGTGTATGAACTGCATAAGGGAATATTTTGGCATGTCTCAAATCTTAAGTTAAGTTATCTTGGCAGATGTTGCACTTTTGGGAACTTGAAAGTTGGAAATGCCAATTATGATGATATAGCCACTAACAATAGTATTGGCAGCAGTTCATCTAGTTTCTTTTATGGATTTTATTTCAGGCATTGATAGACTCTACCTCTTCTGAAAGTAGTCTTGATCATGAGACTGGTGTAAGGGTGGTTGCCTTGTTTGATCATGAGGAGGTTGGATCTAATTCAGCACAGGGAGCTGGATCTCCTGCCATGTTGGATGCTCTATCACGAATTACAAGTTCCTTCAGTACCGATTCTAAGGTAGCACCACTTCCAGTTACATTTTTGCATTATAGTTGTAGTGTACTAACATGTTTACATTTTCAATATTCATAATCAGACTAGTTGAGATCTCCTGAACTTTTCTGTATGAAAATGGGAAATATATATATATATATATATTTGATAAGTAATGAGAAAAATGTGACCTATATATCAAGAAAGGCACCAAGGGGGGTGTCATCCGAATACAAAGGAAAAGCCAACTAAAGGAAAATGTGACCTATACTACCAATTTACTCCATAGTCTCTACAAAATCCAAAAAATAGATGTAAAGATGGTTCAACACAGCCTAAGACCTAACTATACAAAAATTGGCAAAATTTTGTCTAGAATATGCCATTTTGAACTAATACTAGAAACACTCATGTGAAATTTCTCCAATAGGGTGTGTTTAAAAATTCCTGGAAGTTCTTGGAAATGTACTTGCAAATGTGCTGTCCACATGTGTTTCAGTCTATCGACTTCAAAAAAAAAAATAAAAAACCAAAAACAAAAACAGCTCGTCTTGTGCTTTCAGAAACTAGATAAAGAGAATTTCAATTTAAGTCATTCAATTTCAATATTGGCAAAGCAAATATGAGATTGTCTTGTTCACTGTTTTGCTTCCTATATGGGATCAGTGGATTAAACAATCTGCTGTAATTTCATGATTTGCGAAACCATTTTGAATACATCTCTAGTTTCACAATTTTCACATAAACAATCACTCTTTTTTTTTGGGTGAATAACATAAAAAATCATTCTTTAGTTGGACAAAATGGATTTTAACTTCATGATGGCAAACTTAATTACAATGATTCAGTTTCAGAATCACTGACATTGTCCAGATCTTTACAATGTGGTATCACTCTATTTCATGAGTTCTGTCACTAGAAAATTTATGATTATACAATAAAAGAAGATGGAAGGCAGCCTAACTTGTCAAAATTATAAGAAACCAACAATGTATGAAAAATTCATCAATTTGTAAACTTCTGATGATACTGACAAGAGGAGTGTGTGTTGTGAATGCAAATTAAAAATTGCATGGTGAAGTGGGCCACAAGAGATGCTATCAACTTCACTAAATTGGAACAAGTGATGGCCAATATGTTCTTTGTCTTAGTTTTCATTTAGAAGTATGCTGTTTTGTCCTCTTTATATACTTCCTACATAAAGGAAATATGCATTTGGAAGCACTAGTGTTCTTGTATTTGGCATGGAAAATTTGGCAAGGGCTATTCGTTGGCTCTCAGATTGACATGTGGCTTTTAATATGTCCTCATCATTGTGGGTTACCATTCAGTTGCTGGAGAAGGCAATCCAGAGGAGCTTCCTTGTATCTGCTGACATGGCCCATGCTTTGCATCCTAATTATATGGTATGCTCGTCCTGTATTCTGAATTTTTTGATTGATAATTTTTTTTTCCCTGTACATTATAATGATGTGATGTGGTGTCCTTTCCCAGGATAAACATGAAGATAATCATCAGCCCAAGTTGCACGGTGGGCTGGTTATCAAACACAATGCAAATCAACGTTATGCAACCAATGCCGTCACTTCCTTCATATTTAGGGAGATAGCAATCAAGCACAACCTTCCTATCCAGGTCAGTTTCTTCCCGCTTACTAATTTGATAGTGAAAAAATCTAGAAAACATGTCTGATATAATAGTAATAATAATAATAAAAAGGGATTTCATTGGATTTGTTGCATTTGGAGATTTCAGCGAGATCAATTTATTCCATTTTATTTTCTCTCATACTTGGTTCAATTTTTTTCGACTGGAGTAAATTATAACAAAATGAGAGACTCAACCAACTTGGATACTTCATAAACTTCATATTAGCCTTTATGTGGACCAAGAAGAACTTGCTTGTACTGGACTAAAATGCATGTAATCTGCATTGTATTCTCCAAATGCACATTGTGAATTTTTGAATATCTGATAGTTTTCATTACTTTAATACCATTTTCATCTCATTAAGGAAGCAAAGCAAAGACACAAAAACAGTGAGGGGAAAATATTTAAAACAAAATAGAAACTAGCACTATATATATATATATATATTTTTTCCTTTGTGTAATTGAAGGGTTCAAAATTCAAATATGTGCAATGACATGATGATGCTTCGAATACATGAAATTTTTTAAGAATGTACTTTTGTTATTGCAGGATTTTGTGGTTCGCAATGACATGCCCTGTGGTTCAACCATAGGTCCAATTCTGGCGAGTGGTACAGGGATTCGTACAGTTGACATTGGCGCACCACAACTATCAATGCACAGCATAAGAGAAATGTGTGGAGTTGATGATGTAAAACATTCCTATGAGCATTTCAAAGCCTTCTTCCAAGAGTTTTGTCATGTTGACACCAAGATTGTAGTTGACATTTAGGTCTCAGCCTCTCATTTCCTTCGATAATGCATGCTAGTATTTTGTATTGTCAAAACAGTTGGACATCTAGTTTCCACTCCAAGCATATGAAAGATATTTCTAGTGCCATACTCAGCTGAGTTGCCAGGTCGACCGGTGTTGTATTAAACTGTGCAATTTAGTAGAAGTTGCTTCTATGGTTATTAATATGTAATTTGTGGCCAAGTAACATCCAGTCTACTTTTTGTTATGTCATTTTGCAATTCTGTCCAATATAGTATCTCTTGTTTGAGTTTCTTTAGAGCATCTCCAACGGTGCCTCAAATTTTTCACCAAATCTGAGTAAAAAATGACCCATTTCACCAACTTTGATACCACTCGCTCCAACGGTTCACTTTTCACCAAATCTATCCCGGGACAACCGGGTGGTCGACCGGCCGGTTGACCGGTTAGGCCAAAAATTTATTTATTTTTATTTTTTTTCGCGAATTGTCTGAACTTTTTTTTGAACTTTCTGAACTTTTTTCGGGACGACCGGGTGGTCGACCGGCCGGTTGACCGGTTAGGCCAAAAATTTTTTGTGTTTCTTCTTATATATATATATATATATATAAACAACAACAACAAAAGGAAATGGGATCACTGTTGTGCCTCAATTTGAGGTGTATTATGGGCTTATTTTTATAATCCGAACCGTTATTTTATAGGGTTTGTTGAGTACTTCATATCTATCAAAAATCATATTGATCGGATCAATAACTATATGATCGATAACCAAAAAAATAAACAAAATAAAATAATAAGTTTTTCTTTTGAGAAATAGCATAAAAAATATGCAATTCAATCATATAGTTATTGATATTCGATTAATATGATTTTTGATAAGCATGAAGTACTCAACAAACCTTACAAAATGAAAGTTCGGATTATAAAAATAAGCACATAATACACTACAAATTGAGACACAATTGTCAGTATTGTGCCTTTAATGAAAAGTTTGAGACAATATTTAGAAGTCAAATATTTCTTTAAAAAATGTTGTTTTCAATGTACTTTTGCACAAAATAAGATTTTTATTTTATTTATAAAAAGAGAACTACAACAATCCATAACAGAATATTCAGAAGGAAAATGCTAGCGACCCCAAATAATGTACCAAATGTTTTACCAATTCTCTCCCTTGGGTGTGGGATCCACACAAACTCACATGTTTGTGGGTCTCACACCCATGTTAAAAATTTGATAAAATATTTAATAAATTATTTGAGATCGCATTACTCTATTTAGAAAACGCGCTGGTGATAATTCACTTGAAATATGGCCCCACAAAAATAACTTTACACGTGCACTATTGATCTAAATTCTAGTTTATTTTCTAGTTATCCTTCGTGTGACATTGTAAACTTTTTGTTGACAAAAAAAAAAAAAAAAAGGCTCCCATTCTTTCGAAAGCAGTATTCTTTCTTTTGAAAGACGTGCAATGGTTGAATCATGAAAGTTTATAATCTTGAGATTTTTGCTGGTGAATTTAGTGCAATTGTCCTTCTATGAAACTCATACCATAAGTAGTACACATGCCAAATTCAGGAGAAAAAAAATAAAGTTAAATCTATAAAACATAACCCCTAATTTCACCAATAACTGCATATCAAATATTTGATTGATTTAAAAATCAATAATAGATCTAACCCCCACCTCATAGTAAAATTAGGAATCATGTTTAGGGATATCTTTATATTCTCCTCCTCGAGTAACTTACTGATTAGTGCACAATCCCACTACTGCAGATCTCTAATGATAAGTATTCTGATTAGAACTTGCACATCCCAGAATTCCTTGTCAATTTGGAAACACTAGACTTTTGAAAGAGCTTTGTACATGAATAAGCTTTTTTTTTTTTAATTTTTTGAGAAATATGTTTAGGCATGCTACATTATATATATAGAGAGAGAGAGAGAAGAGCGAGAGAGAGAGAGAGAGAGAGAGAGAGAGAGAGAGAGATTCCAGTCTAACACAACTTGTTTCACCTAAATCTCACAAGATAATTGAGCTTGCAGGAATTTTTCACAGAAACCAAAGGTGACAGAATGGGAACTGTCAAAACACATCTCACGATCATATTTAAATCTTGGAACATTCCCCATCCCACAGTGCATATCTGCAGCTTAATCCATTTTCCAGCACAAGGAAAAGAAACTGTCACCGACAAAAGATGCAAAAAAAAATTAAAAAAAAAATCCCAAGCCACATCAATGTCCTTGAGAATCTATTTTCATAACTCAATTGAACTCAAGGACCGACAAAAAGCCAGTGCACAGAGTAAAAAGTAAAGAGCCAAATGAAAGGCCGGTGGGGGTCAGTGATCTATCAAATATATGAGAAAACATATGAGCAAAATCTTCAAGTCTCGAATGTTTAATCCATTTTCAAGTTAATAAGATTGGTTTTTGTCTTCACGAGGAGAGCACCTTCTGAACCTCACCAGTGACCTCCTTTGGGGGTTTCTCCGCATGAAGGTTCGCAACAATACTCTTCTTTGCATAGTAATCAATTACCTGCATTGCAAAATTAAGGATACCTTCAGGATATTGGTTCAAAGTACAAAATCAACGGAAGACTTGGATATACAGTAAAACAGGAGCAGAAGCTGAAAGATCCAACTCCACAGGACCAGAATTTAACATAAATAACTACACTGGCATTTGTATATAAAATGTACAAATATCTCATTAATGATGTCAAGGATGCTAATCATTTACAAATGTGTCTTATGATTCTTTGCTTATATCATTTGCAAGTTTTTTCAGCCCTGTACAAATCAGTTAAGTCTTTCTTCAGTATAAATATCAATTGT